GACCACCACCACTACCACCTTTAACAAAAAAAATATTTGCCGCGAGTGTTTTTTGAAGGAAGTCCACTTTTCAGCCACTGTTTGTGCGTCCCCATGTCACCCACTTTCCTTGTCCGTACTGTGTGGACGCGGATGTGGTTCCCCCCGCTTGCGGGGGGGTCAGGGGGGATCCGCGCCAAGGGAGGACTTGGAAAGTGGGTGAAACGGTGCACAAACAGACTGTTTGAGTGCGTCTTTATGAGCCTTCTTTTCAATGCTCCGTCTCACTCGGTTTCCACTGACTCGAGGTGAATTTTCGGCATTTCTTGAATTCGGGAACCAGACCTAATATTATCCCAGTTTCCTATTTACTATAATTTTAATTTGAATATGATTCGAAATAGAAAAAATAAATCTATTTTAAGAGGTGGTGGTCAATGTAGGTCCCGTTACACTTTCAAATAAATTGTATATAAAATTAAACCAAAAAACTAGTTGGTTTTACATAAAATAATTAAAAAACAAGATATCAATTTTATATATATATATATATTATTAAAAAGGTAAGTATATTGTATTGAATATCATATATATATGAAGTCAATAACATTATAACGAATAAAATTTCCAGTTAACACAACAATGAACAAACACAAAGTTCTTCAAATTAATTTATAACAATTACAAACGATTGAAAATAAGCAATTTGGATTGTTTTAATAAATAAAAAATAATAAATTTGTTATAATAACGACTTATTCTATTTTAAAGTATTCGACAAATGTATTATCAAACGGTATTTTAAACTAAAAATAAATATATCAAAAAGTAAATTAAATACCACCACGAAGTCTAAAAGTAGTAAACAAAGTACTTTGTGAGTTAATTCCAACGTCTTGGACAATCATATCATCAGTCAAATTCTTGCCCATAAAAACAAAAGAAAATTGGTCGAGTTCCATTCCTTGTTTTTCTCTGAATTTTAATTTGACATCTTTAATGGTGTTCTGCAATTCCACTTCGAGTGTAACTATTCTCCCAGTGATTGTCTTGACGAATATTTGCATGTTATGGTTAATTTAGTTCTGGTAGTCTTTATTTTTTTATAATAATAATAATCATTACTTTTTTATCTAAAGATTATTTTGATAGTCAAAAGCAATAAATGAATTAAAATCGTACCATTTTTTTTAAACAATCATTAGATTACATTATTTATATCAAAAAGATCATAAAAAAACAAACAACGATTACCAAATTCATGATTTTGGCTGATGAGGCGTTATTAAATTTGTTGTAAACTATTGTTTCGATTAAAAAACTAAGATTAATATGGTTATAAAATAATAATCATTGTATGATAAAAAATAAAACTTTGAGTTTGTGGGAAATAAACTGGCTCGTTTAAAAATATAGTAAAATATAAAATCATTGCTTTAAAATATAATAGATTAAAAACATATTAATAGCCATTTGCCATAATTAAACAAACGTTAATGTTGGGCGAATTATGAGAAGAGGGAAAGTTTGACAAATTATAATTTTTGTAAAATACTATAATTTATTGTTATCTTGATATAAATATATTAATTCCCTTATCTATGTACTTATCTGTGTATTTAATAAATTTAATATGAATGTAATAAAATAAAATACTATTTTGAAAAAAAATTCAATTGAAATGACTTTATGAAAATTAAATATACAGATGTGGGATTAAAGGTTCGACGAGTACCAAGGTTTCGACTTATATATTAAATACTATTTGAATAGTAATGAACAATTTTTTAATTTATTTTTAAAACATCGTCCAAATATAACTTTTAATATTTAGTTTTTACATTGGTATAAAAATTATTAAATATTTGTCGAAACCATGGTCCTGGTCGAAACCTTAGTACCACATCTGTAATCAATTAAAAATTATCTTTACAAGAATAAAAAATAAACAATTTATGATATTTTATTGATACAGTTGTTTAAAAATTATTATCAAATTATAATCAAAAATGTCTTTATTTTATATTATCATAATTGTTTTGTTTTATTAAAACATAATTGTGATAAATTGTGTATTGTATTTTAAAAATGTTAAAACGACAATTGTGAAAAAAAATAAATGTATATAATGTTTTGATTACATGTAATTATCAACAAAAAGTTGTTTATTGATGAATTTTGATGTTCTGTTTATTTTATCTTTTTTTAACCATGTTAACACTTTAAATAACATTG